GTATTTGCTTCTGTAGCGCATGGGCCTAAAAATGCATCGAAGGCTAACACTTATGCCAGTGAAGCCCTTCGACATTCACCTGATAACCATGCTTCTCCATTCAAGAGATATACTATAGTCAATATGCGAAAAAGAGGAGAACCCTTTAATCAGGCAAATCCATTCTACATCTTCGATGAAAAACTAATAATAAATTTTTTGGAAGATGAGTTAGATGTTGTTTATTAAATTTTATTTTTTTGTTCGCCCAAGATATTGTATATATAAAATACCACGAAAATGGCAACTGATCAAAAGCATCTATCTGATAGTGTACAGTCTCTGAGGGACCAGATTATCAGATGTACAGAGAAAATAGCCCGGATATCTGGGCTAAATGAGCAAAATTTGAAGGTGTATAGTATGCTTTCTGGAGAAATTAGAGCGTTAGATAAAAAACTGGATGATTATCATTCTGAGTATAATAGCTTAAAAAAGATAGTAAAAAGATTGGAAAGAGATGTGAGAACCCAAAAAATTGAATTAGAAAATATGGACGAATGTGTAGATAGAGACACTGTAGTTGATTTAATACATGAAATAGTTCCCCTTTTATTAATTAATAAAAGAAAAGGTGAGGGCTCCTCCTACTCATCTGAAACATCTGAAGAATCTGATTTAGTTGAAATAATTGAGGTAAGAGAATGAAAGGCTGTTCCTCATAAGCAATGAAGGAAGATACGACCAAAGAAGGTCAAGAAAGCAAAACCTAGAAGGAATTTAATTTAATTAGTCTTTAACTAGTTTAAAGCAGTGATCTCTAGTTTGGAGGATTTTCACTAGGCTCTCATATATGTGATACTCAAGTTGTCCACCGTTTTTCTAATGCTATTTCAAGTTTTTTTCTTATAAATTGGGAAATAAAAATCTATGAAGTGTATACCCCCTTTCTTCACTAATCATTTACAATTACCAATAGATCGATCGGTTCTTGGCTTATTCTTATTAAATAAAAGTCTTAGTTAATAAAATCCATGCATTAAACATGCCTAATATTCAAGATATTTTTGAGGAATGGAAAAAAAATAGTTATACCCGATACATGTTATCTGAATATGGCTTAAACTATATTAGTAATTTAAAAACACCAGAAGCT